ACAATAATGTTCGCATATCGATTGAGCTGTATGAGGAACGCTCGAGTTGTAATAACGGCGAATGGGTGGTCCGCGACAGCCGCGTGCGGCAAATCGATTACCCAAGATCGTTCCTAACGCCCGTATCCCCTGGGTGATCCATCAAGAGGAAGTCAACGGGCACGGCTTACAAGAGTTATCGCGATGGAAGAATGTCACGCAGAAGCTTCTCTGCCATTCCTATCGTATGCAGGAATTTCTCTTGAATTCCATTCTCAGCAGACACCGCAGGGCCAAAGAATGCAGAAAGTGCAGACCCACTCAAGTGATGACACGCAACCAATCGTCTTTTTCTCTAGTCAAAAAATTTTGTACGATAAAACAATCTCTCAACAACCAAAACGTTCGTGTTCCAGAAAGAAAAATCTGGGGTGTAATATCTCACAAAAAGGTTGCTTTAAGAACAGTGAAGCGTTGCTTTCCAAAGAAATCACTGACAAGGGTAAGCCGCTCGTGGTTTCTTCGATGCAGGCATGAAAATTGATCAAGACCAGAACTCAAACAGCGTACTGATGGAAGTAATGAAGCACTGATCCGACAGGTTTTCTGAAGCAACTCTAGTCCTTCCAGCAGTACGCTACTCAAGCCCACAGAGCCCGGACCACATTGGTGAAGAGCGATGGTCATCCCACTCTCCAGAACTTGACTCACTTGACTCCCACGAATAGTTCTTGACTAGAGAGGACCTGTAGAGTTTGCAGTCCCAGTTTGAAGTTCGAGAATGCGACGGCTAAAGAACCGCTGGGAAGAAATGGAGAAGGATACCTGCGTGCCACATGCGATCAAGTCGGGAGCGAACTTTGACTTCTATCCGCACTCATGGGGAATATTTTGAAATGCGACTGTGGCATATTGTAGCACATAGTGTAAGCCAGCGTATATAGAAATTCCATCGTCTTTCGCAGCTGAGAAGTTCCAAATATATTGCTATAAATCGGCGCCAATAGTTTTGGGACACCCTGTACTATGAATCTTATATGCCGCGCATGTAATATAATTACAACAATGTGGGGCATTGTGCCCAATATGCGAATCTTTGCTAGTTCTCTCGTCGCGGAACTTCTGAGTGGGTGTCCTCATAGAGTTG